TGATTGGCCCGGCCTGGGGAACAGGCTTGACCCTGGAGACCACCCAAACTACATGGGGCCGTGTGAGGCAGTGACAGCTCTCTAAGGTAACCTAGGGGCTCTCCTCAGAAGAAGAGGAAATGGGTGCTGAGCAGATGAACACGCTACAGGTCTCAGAATCTGTATTTTTTACCCAGTCACCTGGTTGATTCTGATGCACAGGCAGGTTTGGGAATGACTGCTGGACAGATCACTGGTTTTAGGACTCACTAGAGCAATGGAATCCCTCTCCTCCTAGAAAATCTTAAACAGGAGAAAATAAACAAAATAGATATCCCAAAATGGCCCTGTCCTAGTGGAAGGAGGGGTTTGGGGGCCTTCTATCATCCCCCAAGCAGCCCCTAAAGCCCCCGCAAGAGCTCCCTTGAGCTCCCTGATTTTGCTGTTCTCTTTTCTGACTCTTCAGCCCTGCATTTGGTGCAGTGGACTGGGTGGGGTGGGAGGAGAGTCTCAAAGAGCTCACCTAATGCTGTGCCCGCTTCCAGCCCTCGCCCACGCCTCAGCAGCCAGTGCCAGAGGAGTAAATAGGGACAGGAAGGGCCAGTGGCTGACTTAGAAGGTGCGTCAGACATGCCACATCGGATGCTTCTAGCTTTGAAAGCCCATCCTGGCCCGAGGCCAAATGGCTTCATGGGCTCTGCAGAGCACTGGGCCCTGGGGCTGCATGGGCGTTGATGACCCGCCTGTCTGCCGGTGACAGAGGGGATGGCGGCAGGACTGCATTAGTGGTAGCAGAGGGAGATGCTACAGGGACACACTGGCTGGGGAGACGTGGCGGAGGATGAAGTCAATTTCACACTTTATTAGTCAGTCTGGGGCCAACTGAGGCCATCCTAAAACTGGGCTGAAGCCCCGACTCTCCCTCCTCCCTTCACCAGCAAGAAAGGCCTTTATCACCTGAAACTCTTCTTGTTGAAGGAGCAGTATTTTTTTCTACTCAAAACCCCATAGCATTCAAACAAGGAGTTGGGATCCCTTTTATTCTGCAGGAGACAAAGCTGAGGGGTGAACAAATCTGATGTGTGTGTGTGTGTGTGTGTGTGTGAGGCGAGGGAGGGAGTGGTGTTGAACCACGTTGTTTATTTATTCATACATTCATCCCTTACCTATTCAACAGACATATATTGAGAGCTTACTATGTGCCCGGTGCTCAGTGTAATAAAGCATAATGTCCTCAGGGAACCCCCATTCATTCCCCAGCTTTTCACTGAGCACCTACCAGGTACCTGACACCATGTCAAGCTCTGGGGATGCCGTGTGAATAGGTAGACACAGCCATTGCCCTCTTGGAGCAAGGGAGAGACCCTCAAGTAAGAAGGCAATTTCAACAGAGAGGGATAAGGACCCGAGTAGAGGCACACACAGGAAGAGCACCGGAACCAAGAAAGGAACGCTTCCTGGAAGAAGTGATATGCCACTGAGACTTGAAGGATGACTTGGACAGGGGACAGGGGAGCGGGAAAGGGTGTACCACCCAGGTGAAGGAGTGAGTGTGAAGGGGGACAGAGAGAGAGCAGTGCAGATTCAGCTCAGCCAGAGCTCAGAGTTCAAGGAGGGGAAGGGATAAACAGGAGCCAGACCATGAAGCCGTGGTCAAGAACCCTGGAAGGACCTCCAAGAGCCCTGGTTTCAGATCTCTGTTTCTGAAAGCTGACCCTGGTGGTGGCCCTGTGAAGGACGGAAGCCTGGGGGTTTGCTGGCGGTGGGGATGGTGAAAAGTGGGTGTCTTTGGGAGATCTGAGTGATAGCATGCTCTTGGGGCTGGTGGTTCTCTGTAGGCCAGAGGTTGAGTACTCGAGACAAAGACTGTACTGGGAGTCAGATGAAGCTGGGTTCAGAACCTGCTCTGTTCTTAACACCTATGTGACCTTCAGCAAGTATCAATACCTGTACCTCTCTGTGCCTCCTTCATAAAATGGGACTCTATACCCATCTATTGAGATAATAGTGCATTGAAAGGCACGCACACGGGGTTTCTGTAAGGGACATGAAAAACCTTGCGAAGACAATGGAAAGAACTCAAAACTCAGTCCATAGGAAAACATCTCAATGCAATCTCATCTGCTTCCTGCCTTCTTTAAAGCAATCATAGATCCAATGTTTTTTCCTTATATCCAGGGTTGAGATCCTAGCTCTGGACCTCTCTCTGTGGCTTTTCTGGACACTTGACTTCTTGAAGCCTCAGTTTCCTCATCTGTAAAATGGGGGTGAAAATACCAACTTGGTAGGGCTGTTGTGGGGAAGGACTGAGATGTGTGTAAGGTGCTTAGCACAATGCTTGGTACATAGTAGGTGCTGAATAAACAGGAGTCTCATTAATATTCTCCATTCTTATCATCACTCACACAGGAAACATGAGCACTTCCTTTGTGTCAGATCCTGTGCTGGGCATCAGAGACGAACTGAAAATAATAAAAATGTCTGTAATTGTTTATTAAATGCTTACCTGATCTAATGGCTTTTTATGTCTGTGTACATTGACGTTAATTAATTAAATCCCCATATCAATCCTATGCTGTACCTACTATTATTGTCGACTCCATTTTACAGAAGAGGAAGCTGATGCTCAGAGTAAGTGGACAACTTTCCCAAAGTCACACTATGGGTGAGGGAAGTTGGATTTGATCCTGCTTAGTCCGGTTCCTGGGTCCACACATGATGCCACCCAGCCTCTCAAGGGTCAGCCGTCCAGTGAGCCGCTCGGGACCTCCTCGATTATGAGTGACAGCTAGTCCACACAGTGGTCAAGCACTCTGGCATCTGACTGCCTGGGTTTGAAGCCCAGCTCTGCTGCTTAGAGTCTGTGTGAACGTGAGCACGTTACTTAACTTCTCTGTTCCTCTGTAGAGCGAGTGACAGAAACACCCTCATAGAATTGTGTGAGGTGACAGCCTAAATGAGATAGTGCATCCAAAGGCTTGGCCCAGTGCCTGGCACACACAAGTGCTTGAGAATGTTGGCTATTATTTTGAAGCAAAAGGGGAATTTACTGGTGCCCATAAACAAACTACAGAAAGGATGGGGTGGCACTGACTTTGGGTCACTGAACTGTGGGACTTGAACACTACCAGAGGGTGTCTATTGGTCTACCTGTGACTCTGTCTGTCTGTCTCTCTCTTCACTCATTCTCTGTTGCTGTCTTGTTCTCTCTCCCACCCACCTGTCCTCCCCGCCTCCCTCATTTTCTCTCTTCTCTTCCCATACCGGCTTCATTCTCTTGGGATCATGTTCCCAGGATGTGGGACCATAGGCCTCAAGTAGGATTGCCAGTTAAAATACAGGGCACCTAGTTAAATGTGAATTTTGGATAAACTAGGAATAATTTTTTAGTATAAGCATGTGCCATTTGGGACATACTAAAGGTTATTTGGATTTAGAATTGAATGAGATGGATAAAATCCTTATCCATCTTACTTTCTAATGAGGGAAGCAGACAACAAACAGATAAACTAGAAAATAGGAGGGAGTGGTGCAGTCTCTAATGACAGTAAGACAGGGTGATGAATAGTGAGTGCTGGGGTCAGGGTAGGAACAGTTGGACACTGCCCAGATGGAGCGGTCAGTGAAGGCATCACTGAGGAGCTGACCTGTGTGGCAAGAAGCCAGCCAAGGGCAGATCTGGGGGAAGAGTATCCCAGGGAAGGGAAGGGCCAGTGCTGAGTCCCTGAGTCAGGAAGGAGCTTAGGGTAATTGAGGAACAGAAACAGAAAGGCAAGTGTTGGCCGTATCACAGTGATCAAGGTGGAAAGTGGTACATGGTTCGGTGGGAGGGAAGCAGGGCCCATCACACAGGCCTGGTTAGGTCTGAGTAAGGAATTTGAGTTTTGTTCAGTTTTAAGAGGTGTGACATTCTCTAATTTACTTTTTGCGAAGGATCACTTTGACTGTTCTATGGAGAGTGGGTGAGGGGGAAGCACAAGGGTGGGAACTGAGAGACAGTCCAGAGGCTCCTGCAGAAGCACAGGGGAGAGAAGAGGAGTGGAGGTGCTGGAGAGGGAAAAAGTGGACAACTTTCAGGAAGGTTTTGGAGGTAAAGTTGACAGTCCTTGCTGAAGGACTGAATATGGAGGGAGGGCTGCGAGGAAGAGAGGAAGCGGAGTGAATCCCAGCTTTGTTGGCGTTACCCCTTACAGGAGCCTAAGGAAGCATGACAGGCAGTGATACAATTCAAATTCCATATTTGGTTTTATTAAAAATAATGTAGGGACTTCCCTGGTGGCTCAGTGGTTAAGAATCCACCTGCCAATGCAGGGGATACGGGTTTGAGCCCTGGTCTGGGAAGATCCCACATGCCGCGGAGCAACTAAGCCCGTGCGCCACAACTACTGAGCCTGCGCTCTAGAGCCAACGAGGCACAACTACTGAGCCCGTGAGCCACAACTACTGAAGCCCGCACGCCTAGAGCCCGTGCTCTGCAACAAGAGAAGCCACCGCAATGAGAAGCCCGCGCACCGCAACAAAGAGTAGCCCCCGCTCGCCGCAACTAGAGAAAAGCCCACGCACAGCAACAAAGACCCAACGCAGCCAAAAATAAGTAAATAACTAAATAAGTAAATAACTAAATAAGTAAATAAAATAACATTAAAAAATGTATTACGTGCATATTGTAATACATTAAGAAAAACAAAAACTACGTTATAGTCACAATACAAACTGCAAAAAGGAAATCTGGACCAGGTGCTTTTGGCTGGTATCTGTCCCCTCCAGGTGGGGACGGGGACACCTGACTCCTAAGGGGAGTGCCATGCCTTGGAATCTCTGGCCTGGGATGTGGCCAGCGGGGTGGTGTGAAGGGGAAGAAGATAGATGTTGAGATTTTTCCAGTTGTGTGCGTGTCACTGTATTTTTCTTTTATGTTCTGCCGCAGCTTTTGGTGAGGAGTGGAGGAAGGGTGAGAAAGAATTTGAGGAAAAAAGTTTAGCAATGTGGGAGGAAAGAAAGTAGTGGGGAGGTATACTCACAAAGGCATATCAGCAAGGCTGTCTTCCACTGCTTGGCCTGGGGCTGTGAAGAAGCTTCTTGGGAGGATGAAGATGAAGTAATTCAAGATGGCGAGCTCTAATCACCAGGGAGTATCCGAGGACGTGGTCACATTACATTCCCAGGGGAACAACCTTTGGCCTCTTAAGACGTCCACTTGCTTTCAGTTTGGAAAGAGCTCAGGCAGTGAGGGGCTATTTTTTCAGAGCCTGAGGTGGTGAAGGGTCAGGAACACAGACGTTAGAGCAAAGGTTGAAAGTACAAGGAGTGTTAGCCCAGAGAAGACTCGGGCTGGGGTCACTGCTGGCAAAGCTTAGGAGGAGTACATTGGAGGAGGTGGGAGCCAGCAAAAATAGCTGTGTCTTCGAGGATCAATCATTTAAGCAGCACTCATATGTCCTAGACTGCCAAAACCTCCACGCGTGATCCCATTTCCACATTCCAACGGCCCTCTGAGGTACGACTATTTCCTGGTTTACCCACAAAGAGGAAAGTGAGGTTTTAGAGACATGAAGTAACTTGTTCAACGAGGTCACACAGCTGGTGAGTGTGGAGTCAGGATTTGAATTTGGACATTTTGCAATGTGAAGTCTGGGCTCCTGATTACCACAGCCTCTTCATCCCAGACCCTCTCCCACGTCCAACGCATCTTGCTCCCTGGGTTCAATCCTGTCATCAGATGGGAGGATTTCCAGCAGCTCTGGTCCCCGGGGCTCAAAATGAAGTCCCTGTGTCCAGCTCTCCATCCTGCCTCTTGCCAGGATCTTCGTATTTTTAGTGGACCTGATCTTTAAGTCCCCAGGGCCTAGTACTTGAACCTCAACCCAAAGACTGGGATCCTACTGCCTGCTTTCTGACCTAGCCTTGATCTCTGTCCTGCCTGGACACAAGGTGATAGCTGTTCTCAAGTGCCCCATTATGGTTCTGGACACCTACTGCTCATCCCCACGTCTCTGGGGAGTGTGCCCTGAGATCACTGTGACCTCCCAACCTCACAACTCCTTCACCTGACTCGGCCTTCTTCCTAGCCTTGGCAGCTGGAACTGTGTTGCCAGCCCCAGCTCTGCTCCAGGGGAGAGGCCTGGGGCTCAGTACTAACTAGACACCAGCTTATCCTACAGAATAAGGTCCACAGTGCCTGGTTGCTGTTGCGATTTGTGTTTTCTTGTTTGTTTTTCTTTAGTTCGCAGGTCTTGAGAGCTTCCTATGTGCCAGCACTGGATTAATCACGTAAAGTGGATTTCCTCACGTAACCCTCAAAAAGCCCTGTGAGAAGTGAACAGAAGCTGTGGTGATTGCTAGTAGTGCACTAGCCTTTCCCCAGACCAAAGGCTCTGCTGATGTGCCTGGAATCACTGAGACCCCAGAATCAAGACAAGCAGGCTTTTTCCTGGCCAGAAGCCTCATCTCCACTTCCCGTCTCACTGACCGGGGGCTCACCATCCCTCCTGAGCCAGGGCCAGACTCGAGGCACTGTGGCTGGAAGGAGGCGACCCTCTCCTCCTGCCCACAGCCTGGCTCTGCTGTCACACAGTGGCCCTTGGGTCTCCTCTGTGTCCTTCTCTGGGCCCTGCAGAACAGCTTCAGTTGGCCCAAACAAGGGCTGCTCGGCAGATTCTCACAGCCACTGACCCTGGAGCGTGACCCACTCAGCTGCTGTCTATAGCTGAAGACACTTCCAAGAGATCTGGGTGGGGAGGGTCGGACTGTTCCCTGACCCAGGGAAGGTACAGCAGACCTGGTGATGGTCCCAATCTTCTCTGAGGGCTCGGCAGCCTGAGGGGCAGAGGTACCTAGGAGCCCCCCAGCTCTACTACCCACTCCCTCCCTGTATCCCTAGCTGCTGAGCTGCACAAAAGTCACTGTCCAGTCAGAGAGAGAACCACTCCATGCCTTGTGAACAGAGGGACTTAGGGAGGAAGTTACACAGGTGAAAGAAGATCCTAGAATCACCACAGGGATTAACAACAGCAAAAAGACACTCTAGTCTTTAGGTTGGAGGAACGCAGGGAAGAGGCAGCGTTATTAGGGCCCAGTATCTGAAGCTGTCTTACAGAAACTGGAAGTATAGCCAGGCCTGTCCAACGGGACCTAAGACCAAGAGGGAAGGACCATCCAGTGGAAGTGGGAACCATGGAGAAGACCAGCCAAGGCAGAGATGCTGCCTGAAGCAGAGAGAGGGAGAAATACCTTGGGTTCTCCCCTCCTTCCCCCTGCCAGTGCCTCCCATTGGACAAACCCACCAGAAAACCAGAGAACAAAGGATCCTGGGCAATGTAGTTCCCTGAAGTACAGAGCTGAGCTGGGCAGGGAATAAATGTGAGAGCAAGCAAGCAAATAACCAACCTCTGAGATGTGAGCTGCTCAGAAGGGGTGGATGCAAGTCCTATGCCCACTCTGGCCCAATCCTCCTAAGGCTCAGGGCTGTCCCAAACCTGCAGCCACTGAGCTCTCTTTCTACTCACAGGCCTCAAGGATGCCCAGACCCCTGAAGACAGGCAAATGGGCCCCAAACAGGGAACCCAGAACCACCCTGAGGTATCCTGGAAGCATGGTGGTGGCCTGAGACCTAACTGAACAGCATTAGCTGGTGCTCCTGAGCCCAGCATAAGTCAGAGCCCTCAAGGACAAATCTGATCTCACCCTCTCCTTGTTCCTGAATCTGCCAGTGGAGCCTCCAGCAAGGAGTCTTTGTCCCCAAAGCTGCTGGGTCCCCTTGGAACACCCTGAGAAGATGCTCCTGGATGTAAAGGGCCCTGAGCCTCTGACCAGAGTTGCTGCTCCAGCGCATCTGCATGCCTGATTATTGCCTGAGTACCTGCCTGACTTGTCCGGGTGCAATGGACTGCAGAAAGCCCTCTCGCTGGGGAGAGGCAGGAGAATCTGGGCCACTCCTGCCCAAGATTGGGATTGCCCTGGATGGGGAAATCTGCCCACCCTGACCCAGACGCAGCACCAGGGAACCGGACAAGGGAAAGTCCCAGGAATCTTTTGGGGTGTGACAGCAGCCTCTGAGGGAAGGGCTGTATCGAACCTCTACTAGGCCCTCAGGAGCGGAACCAGGGGGCTTCATCTACATAAGGGAGTAGCCAGGCCTTGTCACCATCCCAAATATAGAGAGAAAGGCAGGCCCTGCAAACCTTCCTCCAAATGTCATGCCATCTTTTCTAAAGTCCCCATAATAATATTTATTGAGAGCTAATGAGCCAGGTGCTGGGCTAAGTGATATTATATCAGTATCTCATTTATTCCTCAAAAGAACCTTGTGAAATAGGTACTATGGAGAGCCTCATGGGTGGTCAGAAAATATGGCCCACGATTGAATAAATGTTTGATGACAACAATAGTAACAATAGCAGAAAACGAAACAGTTCTCCCCAGAGATTCAAGGAAGGAAAATTAACATCTAATGAAGTAGTGAGTGAAGTGGAGACACATGACGGCATTTCACAGAAAACAGATGTGAAGCTAATTCTTCAGAGGAGATTCTCTACCAGGGCAGCCAACCCACACTCTGTGGCAGAAGATGCAAAAAGGGGGACCTGTTGTGACCCACACAATCTCCACACAGATTTCACATCAAAAATCAAAACAAAACCCTGGTTTCTGGCTTCTCTTGAAAAATCAGAATCTCTGGCACCACTGGGCCCTCATTCTGATGTGGCAACACTGGTTGAAGCCAAGAAGCTGCAAGCTCCTTAGATGGAATATGTATGCTGTGGTCCACCACAGTCCCTGCCACTCCCTAATGTCTTTCACCTGGCACTTCCTCTCATTTGCACCACCTGCCCAGCACCGTGGGCGTTTCAATTTGCTGAGGTGGCGCCTCCCAGCCCAATCTCAGGTGATTCCTAGAGCCCTGCTGCCACCTAGTGGTCAGAGTTCACATATTTCCTCCCTGCACAGCCGTGATGCTCCTGTTGTGATCCGCCACCATTCACAAGTGTTTCATTTAATCCTCTCACTCACCCTGTCAGAACAGGAATTGTACCCATTTTACAGATGAGAAAAACAGAAAACATAAGTTCAAAAATTACTGATAAGAAAACAGAAGAACAAGGTTAAGTGAGTGGATTGTTAAGGAACCCAGCTCCTCGGGATGTTGCCAGGAGTGGAATCCAGTTCTTTCCTTACCCACCAGTCCAGGTATTTGAGTCTCTGCCCTACCACAACAGATCCTAAAATGACTTTTCCATGCTGGAAGGTAGGTCCTGGGGGAGGAAGCCAGCGACTCCTTGAGAAAAGACAGAATTCTACAGTGAGTATTTTTTGGGCTGAATAGGGAGGACAACGCAGGCTGGGGGCCCTCACCAAACTTCCCCACATGCAGAAACCACAATAAATGAGTTTGCTACTTGCCTATGGCCAAGCGGGCCTTGAACTCAGGGGTTTTAAGGTCAAGTGCTGGGCACTTCTCATACCATTACACTGCCTCCCTGGGCCTGAGAAGGCTTCCCCTTCCCTTTTGCTTCCCCCAACCCTACTTATCCCACAAAGCCAGCACCTGCCCCACTTCCTCCAGGAAGCCTCCCTAACCACCTCAGCGACCCCAAAGCTCCTCCTTGTCTGAACACCCATGAGCCTGGTAAATAGCACCCTTCTGGGGCTGACGGCATCCTGCCTTGTGGTGCCAGGTGCCAGTCTGTCTTTTACAGCTGGATGGGAGATTCCTTGGAAGTAGGTTTCAGTGTTCCCATCCCATCTGGGCTGTTTATCTGAGCAACGTGTATTGAACATCTATTACTTGAGGCATATGACAAATGCTTAGGGAGATTCCAGGATAAACCAGAACTTGCATCCTAAAACACAACTCTGGGCGTGTCACTCCTCTGCTTGAAACCCTTTAGTGTCCCCCACCACTGCCCTCAGAATAAACCCCAAAGCTCCTTACCAGGCAGACCTCACTAAGCCATCTCGCACTGTACCCACCACCCTTACGCACACCCTGTGTTCCAGCTCTATAGCATTTTAGTTCCCTGATGAGCTGTGCTTGCTCTTAACTCTGGGCCTTTGCATGTGCCCTCCCTCCCACCTTCATCTAACCTGTTACCCATCAGCTTGGATATCACTTCTTCCAGGAAGCCCTCCTTAGCCACCAAGTCTGAGTCAGGGGCTGGCCTCTCCCCTGGGCTCTGGTGGCACCTGTTATCACCCTATCCTAACAATTAACACTGTGTTTAACTGTTGCCTTGTCTGCCTCCCTCATCAAACTGTGGGCTTTGGGAGGGCAGGGTCCTGGTCTCTCTGACTTCTCACTGCATCCCCAGCAGCTAAGGCCAAATCCTGGAGGCACCAAAGATGTGCAGTAGACACTCACTAAATGAACACATGAATAAAGGAGGTGCCATTTTTATATATGGCAAGTATCTAGTGAACAAATGCCACACTGGGGCATCTGACCATCCAATGGTTAGAGTCACACAAATTTCAGCGGCATTTCATCTTCAAGTCCTTTATTCCCAGTAGTTGACATCAGTTATTCACCAAGCTAGACTCACCACATTAACCAAGAATTCGCTCATCTTTCCTTTGATATTGTAATCTTGTCCTCATGTCTAAAACTAGGTTGGAGCCCAAGAGATTAAAGAGGTCTCACTCTGTTGCAGGGAGCAAGGGTCACCCTTGTGAATCAGTCTTCACCTCCTGGAAGTCTTGTTCAATTCACAGACAAATACCTTTGTAAGTCTAATATGTGACAGTCCAGCATTGAAATACATAAGTCACAAGGCAATGGTTCTAGGTATTTGGAGGGGGAAAGGCACATTACACAGAGTCCCCTGGAGAAAATTCAGGCCATTCTCCATCTTCTCAATTCTGCATTTTCTCACCCTTCAGTGACTTTTAATCTCATCCCCTAGGAGAAACCATTACCTATGTGCTACTGAATACATTGTTATTTTTCCTCATGAGATAGATTTGGTTCCAAGAATATTTCAGTTTTCTCCCTTATGCCTACAAGAATATCCAGTTTTGTTCAGGTCCTTTTCTTTTTTTGTGGTACGTGGGCCTCTCACTGTTGTGGCCTCTCCCATTGTGGAGCACAGGCTCCGGATGCGCAGGCTCAGCGGCCATGGCTCATGGGCCTAGCCGCTCCACAGCATGTGGTATCTTCCCAGACCGGGGCACGAACCCGTGTCCCCTGCATCGGCAGGCAGACTCAACCACTGCACCACCAGGGAAGCCTCTCTTCAGGTCCCTTTTAATGGCACTTAATAAATATACATTCTGGGACCTGACAGAACAGGCTGTCCTATTTCAAACCTCCTCTCAAGCTGCTGTTTTTTTATAACTTTTTTAAAAAATTATTTTCGACTGCATTGGGTCTTTGCTGCTGCACGCAGGCTTTCTCTAGCTGTGGCGAGTGGGAGCTACTCTTCGTTGCGGTGCGCGGGCTTCTCATTGCAGTGGCTTCTCTTGTTGCAGAGCAACACATGGTGCGCGGCTTCAGTAGTTGTGGCACATGGGCTTAGTTGCTCCGTGGCATGTGGGATCTTCCCGGACCAGTGCTCGAACCCGTGTCCCCTGCATTGGCAGGCAGATTCTTAACCACTGTGCCATCAGGGAAGTCCCTTTTTTTAAAAAAATAACTTTTAAAATTATTTATTTATTTTGGCTGCGAAGCTGCCTGTTTGAAACGTCTGAGCAAGTACAAAGTTTGGATGGGGCACATCCTAGCTAACAGCTTGTGACCATTTCCAACCCCGGGTCTATCTCGACCACCACTGTGTGTCTAGAGCAGAGGTCCCCAACCCTGGCCACACACTAGAAATACTTGAGGACCTCTCTGAATTCCTGAGGCTGGGCCACACCCCACACCAATTACATCAGCATCTCTGAGTGGGATCCTGGCTTCAGTCATAGTTAAAGCTGCCCCGGTGCAAGCAGTGGGCAGCCACGTTGAGAAGCCCTGAGCTAGGTTTCTAGCACTCTGTAGGCTCTCATAAGTATTATGGAACCACAGTTGGATTTCTTATTTTATTATCTGTTCCCCTGTGCTTCCTGTTTGTATCAGAACTCTGAGCAGGGAAGAGAAAGGAAAATGAGTCATGAGCATCTTGGAGAGTGAATTTGCTGCTGGGAGAGGGATTGAAGGGACTGAGTTTTGCATTATGTATGCAGCCTTCACACTTTCACAAGCCCAGAGGAGGTAAGTTACAGACTGACAAAGACATGTATAGACTTTTAAAGGCTCTCCAAATACCAGAGCTAACAGCTTTAGGCACTACAGCTATAACACAGAGATGTTCCTGGAATTAAGTCTAAACTGCCACATATTTTTACACACACTCTAAGGTGGGTTGGTTCCAAAAATTTTTTTTTCCCAAAAATGTTTTATTTGTAGCTACTTGGCTAATGGTCATGGCTGTAATATATATATATATATATATATATACACATATATATATATATATATATGACATTTTTTAAAACATCTTTGAGTATAATTGCTTTACAATGCTGTGTTTCTGCTGTATGACAAGGTGAATCAGCTGTATGTATACATATATCCCCATATCCTCTCCCTCTTACGCCTCCCTCCCACCCTCCCTATCTCACCCCTCTAGGTGGTCGCAAAGCACCTCTCCCTGTGCTATGCAGCTGCTTCCCACTAGCTATCTATTTTACATTTGGTAGTGTATATATGTCAATGTTACTCTCTCACTTCATCCCAGCTTACCCTTCCCCCTCCCCGTGTCCTCAGGTCCATTCTCTATGTCTGCGTCTTTATTCCTGTCCTGCCCCTAGGTTCATCAGAACCTTTTTTTTTTTTTTTTTTTTTTAGATTCCATATATATGTGTTAGCATACGGTATTTGTTTTTCTCTTTCTGACTTACTTCACTCTGCTTGCAGACTCTAGGTCCATCCACCTCACTAAAAATAACTCAATTTTGTTTCTTTTTATGGCTAATATTCCATTGTATAAATGTGCCACATCTTCTTTACCCATTCATCTGTCGATGGATGCTTAGGTTGCTTCCATGTCCTGGCTATTGTAAATAGTGCTGCAATGAACATTGTGGTACATCACTCTTTCTGAATTATGGTTTTCTCAGGGTATATGCCCAGTAGTGGGTGATATGGTAGTTCTATTTTTAGTTTTTTAAGGAACCTCCATACTGTTCTCCACAGTGGCTGTATCAATTTACATTCCCACCAACAGTGCAAGAGGGTTCCCTTTTCTCCACACCCTCTCCAGCATTTATTGTTTGTAGATTTTTTGATGATGGCCATTCTGACCAGTGTGAGGTGATACCTCGTTGTAGTTTTGATTTGCATTTCTCTAATGATTAGTGATATTGAGCATTTTTTCATGTGTTTGTTGACAATCTGTATATCTTCTTTGGAGAAATGTCTATTTAGGTCTTCTGCCTATTTTTGGATTGGTTTTTTTTTTCTTTATATTGAGCTGCATGTGCTGCTTGTATATTTTGGAGATTAATCCTTTGTCAGTTGCTTCATTTGCAAATATTTTCTCCCATTCTGAGGGTTGTCTTTTCGTTTTTTTTATGGTTTCCTTTACTGTGCAAAGGCTTTTAAGTTTCAGTAGGTCCCATTTGTTTATTTTTGTTTTTATTTCCATTACTCTAGGAGGTGGGTCAAAAAGGATCTTGCTGTGATTTATGTCATAAAGTGTTCTGCCTATATTTTCCTCTAAGAGTTTTATAGTGTCTGGCCTTACACTTAGGTCTTTAACCCATTTTGAGTTTATTTTTGTGTATGGTGTTAGGAAGTGTTCTAATTTCATTCTTTTACATGTAGCTGTACAGTTTTCCCAGCACCACAGTACCATACTGTCTTGATTACTGTACCTTTGTAATATAGTCTGAAGTACGGGAGTCTGACTCCTCCAGCTCCGTTTTTCTTTCTCAAGATTGTTTTGGCTATTCGAGGTCTTTTGTGTTTCCATACAAATTGCGAAATTTTTTGTTCTAATTCTGTGAAAAATGCCATTGGTAGTTTGATAGGGATTGCACTGAATCTGTAGATTGCTTTGGGTAGTATAGTCATTTTCACAATGTTGATTCTTCCAATCCAAGAACATGGTATATCTCTCCATCTGTTTGTATGATCTTTAATTTCTTTCATCAGTTTCTTATTGTTTTCTACATACAGGTCTTTTGTCTCATTAGGTAGGTTTATTCCTAGGTATTTTATTCTTTTTGTTGCAATGGCAAATGGGAATGTTTCCTTAATTTCGCTTTCAGATTTTTCATCATTAGTGTATAGGAATG